GGAGGCGGCGAGCTCCGCAGCCCGGCTGCGGAGAGGAGCCAGCAGCCAGCGGGCTCAGGCTGGCCTGGGAGCGGGGGTGAGACGCGGCTGGGGTGGGGAATGCACCCACAGCATCTGCATGAAGGACAGACGGGGAGGGATTCCCCATCCACTCAGCACATCCAGCCCACGGATGACCCCATGGGGCAGACTCCAGCACACGGGACATACCCCAGCCCTGGAGGGACATACCCCAGCTCTGGAGGGACGTACCCCAGCCCTGGAGGGGCAGGAGCCACCCCTAGTAAATGTTTGGCCCCTGCTGCCTTGTTCAGGTTACCGTGGCATAAAGGGGGCTCCATGTTCAAAAGGCACTCCTGTCCATGACCGTGACCATGCCCAGAGCCTGTGACCTGGTTCTTGCCTGCTCTCTGCCACCACAGCTTGGTCCTTGACGCATGGGGCAAGTTAAGGGGGGGACTGAAAAGAATAGGGCCACATGATGGGGTAGCTGGCTGAAGCACAGGGCTGGATGCTCCCTAGCAGGGCAGAACAAGCTCAGTTCAGCTTGGAGAGAGAACAGCAGCAGGGTGTGAAATGCATCCTGCTTCAGGTGCTGAAATGAAGCCGTTCCATCTCTATTTTTATGGGTTTTTACCCCAACTGCTCCTTTAGGCCAAATAATTTACCCCCTTGGACCTGCACTAGGGAATCCAAATCCACTCAACTCTCCCACTTCTAGAGAATCCACTTGTCTGTTCAAATAAATACTCCCTGAACACCCCCAAAACACTTGGCTCCTTTGGCTGCTGGTTCCCAGATCAATGGGCAGTGGAGCTCATCCTGCTACCCCAGGGCTTGGCCGTTGTGCTCAGGTGACACATTCACCTCCCATCAGGAGGTGAGGACAGACCACAGACTAGGATACTGAGCTCATCCCATCTCTGCCCCTCTCTGTCCCTGCCCCAGCCTGTGAGCCTGCTGCCCCAGCTGCCCCTTACTGAAGAGCTCCATAACCTGTCCCAAGTCCACCTACCACTGGCGGGAGGTCTATACAGAGCTGAGTTGAAGGACTTCATCTTGACATACAGCCCCTGGTCTTCCTGCCTGAGCTCTCCACACCTGGATGAGCTGGTTTCCCCCCACCCTGACCCATAGCCCCTCTGGACCCCCCTCTTCCCCTTCCAGCCCCATGTGCTGCCCTGGGATGCTCTGCACCCAGCTCACCACCCTTGTGGGGCATGCCCATCCCCATGAGAGCTCCACAACCGCTTGCCCACCCCACCCCATCCCGCTCCCTGGCCAGGTCTGTGGCGCAGCTTAGGTACCATTACTTACTGCACCAAACCAACAAAGAGCCCTGGGGGATGGAGGCAGCCCCACTGATGCTGGAACCCAGCCCTAGCTGCCAGTAATGTCTGTGTCAGGCTGGATCCCTTCCCCTTACTGATGTAAGAGGGTATTAAAGTTTGGCTGTGGGTTCATGAAAGGAGGCAGTATGCCAGAGCCACCTCCCTATTCCATCCCCCTCCTTGTAATGGACTCAGGATGTTAATTAATAGCTAATTGCTAATATCTTGCATCCCTCTAATGTCTCAACAAGGAGCCTCAAAGTGCTTTGCAGACACTGGCTATGATCCCCTGCTTTGACAGTGCAGAAATTGCAGCCCAGAGATGTTTCAGGAACATGCTGATGACCCAAGTCTGGATCAGCAACAGCCCCCAGTCCTGGATCCCTGCTCCAAGCACTGACCCACACTGCCTCTCCTGCCACGTTGCTGGACTGCCTCCCAAACTGTGGCCTTTTATAAAACCCTCCCAGGCAAGCTGCCTAGAAGTCAGCCTTGCAGGGGCCCAAGGCAGGGAAACAAAGAGTTAAACAATATACTGATAGGCTGGTGAGCTCATCAGAGCTGGGATATGCTCCATTGTTTATTAGACTCTTAACAGAGGCCCAGTAGACAACATCCAGAGGGATGTGGGGCTCAGGGTGAGCCTGACTTAGGAGAGCGGGACCTTCTGCTGCAGCCTGGTCCACTGCCGGTGGGGTGCGAAGCCATCCCTCACCACTCGCCACGTAAGTAGGATGGATTTCCATGGGTTTGGCTGTGGGGGTGGTGGAAAGGGAGAGGGGATACAGCACAGCAAGGCTGGGGATCGTCCTCTTGCTGAGCCCCGAAAAGGGACTTGCAGGTATTCTTTGCTCAGCAAGACCCTGAGCGTGTTGCTGGGACCGTCTAAGCTCTAGGTGATGCTGGAAAGCTGCTCCCAAGGGATGCAGGTGGCTGGGCCCAACCCAGCTCCACTACACCAGCAAATGGACACTGCCTCCATCTCAATTTACATCCAAGATCTGGCGGAGCTTGCAGGCAACGTGAAATCCCCTGACACGTTGCCTTATTTCTCCACCCCAGTCTCAGAACAGAGCTAGCCAGTCTGCAGGGACGACTGCCCACATAGCCACTGCCAGCCGCCTTCTCGCTCTGGGGCAAGCAGGGGTGTGGGGATGAGAGCAGAGAGGATGGGGCTTTAGCACTCGTGCCTGGCACCGACACAACTCTCCCTGTCTTCTCCCAGAGCAGAGCCCACTCAGCCAGCAGGATTCGGCCCTCTTTGGGCTGACACACGGCAACAGAAAGCTGGATACTCCAAGCCACTCCTCCTGCGCCCGCAGAAGCCAGCGGCTGGGTTCCTCCACGGCGTGCTCAGGGGATGTTTAGTGCAAACAGCTGCCTCACCTCCTGCAGTGAGCTGCTACCCACCAGTGACAGCTGGGACGACACAGGCACAGCATGGTGAGTGGGCTCTCGGCGCTCGGTCCCTTCCCAGGGGATTCCCTGCCCTGACATCTGCACAAGGATCGGGGTGCTTCCCCTCATCAGCACCTCCCTGCATGCAGGTCCCCCGAGGCAGGGTGCAGCTGCGGGGCTTGAGCTCTTCGCGGGACAGCTGCGGGCAGGGCAGGTCCCCCACCTCCACCAGGAAGCAGCCCCCCAGTCCTCAGCTTACTCAGTTTCTTGGGGACCTCAGGCACGCTGGCTCACTGAATATACATCTCACTCCTATTCACTTTGTACCTGCTGGATAGCCAATCTCAATTAAATTGGCCAGCACTAAGTATCTAACAAAAAGTTTCTGCAAAGTGCCTGCGTGCACATGTCCGTCAGTGCAGCAGCTTCCTTTCCCACCCATCCCACGGTTGCACATGAGTCCTCTAGAGCAGCTAGCCCCTTCTCCCAGCAAGTGTAGACCCATGACTGTCATCTAGGGGGGTCCTGTACTGAGGTTAAACATCGGGACTGATTAAAGAGTCAGACTGAGACACCCCAGAGCAGCAGGAAAAGCCATGCCCAGAAAAGCCATGCCCTAAAAAGCACTTCCCAGTTTTCCTCCGTTCCCCAACATTACAGTTTCCTCACAGCTGGGACCCACCAGTGAGGACTTTGCTGCTCACCCATTGGGGTGGCAGGCAAGACACATCTTCTGGCTAAAGGACAAATGAACCCTTTGGGTCTTACCCCAAGACTTTGCAGAGCGCCTGATGCTGCCTTTTGCCAGGGGACCATCCCAAGCCATCTGGAGGCCACTTGGAAAACCCAGAGAACCATGGGGAACTGGCAAGAGTCTGAGGGTCCCCCTCTGTGGGACATCATGGGGCTTTGGTGGGGCAGTATCTAGATCTCAGATGGACAGGTTGGGGAAGTGTGGGAGAAGCACGTGCAGATGTTCAGGTGACCCACCCAACTGCTCCATAGCATCGGAGCTGCCATTCACCCAAACCCAGTTGTTGTACTGGTGCCGGGCAGACCAGAGCTCACTTGCTTTGTCTGCTTGGGGACAGCTGGCAGAGTCTGAGCCCTCAGGAAAAGCCCTTCCAGGCCAGGCCCTCAAGCCAGGCCGGTCTTTTTGCTTTCCCCCAGGGTAAATCAGAACAAGCCACATCCATGGAGTGCAGGGCTCACTTTGTCTTTTCCTCAAAACTTTCTTTTCCATGACGGTTGACTCCCAGAGGGATGTGGGGCTGGAGGTGAACCTGTCTTAGGTGAGCAGGAGCTTCTGCTGCTGCCTGTCCCACCCGTGACGGGGTGGGGAGCTTTGTTCAGGGAGGTGGCTTGGCAGCAGAGAGAAAGGCAAAATATATCCATAAACTTGGCCTGGATTTCCAGCAACATTTGGCTGCTGGTTTGCAAATTCTTAGCTTTTCCACCAGTGATTTGTATGGTAAAACACAAGGCAGAGATCCCAAGTGTTACAGCCTCTCTGCACCACCCTGCACACAGCAGCACCACCAACACCCATGGCTCTGCGCCCGGGACAGGTCCACGCTCGCCTGCACCACCAGTGCTCCCATGGAATGGCACCCGCTTAGTCCTAGGGCAAAGACCAGCTCCACTTTGGGATGCTGAGAGGTGTCTTCATGAGGAAGAACCAGATGGAGATGGACACCAATCCCTGGGGCGAGACTGTCTGAGCTGGAGAAGCTCCGGTGCCCCTGGCCATGCAAAGTGGAAGAAGTGGGAGAAACTGCTTGCAGTGAGGACTTAAGAGGAGCATGTAAGAAGCTCCTGAAGAATCAGAGCTGCCTCCCCAAATAGAAAGGTGAGGACTGGATTGGGAGAGTAAATCCAGCCCTTGCATGGCCGGGAGGACACAGGCCTGTGCTTAGGAGCAAGGTCTTCGGATCAGGCTGTTGCCCCATTTTAGCACAATTCTGGCCACATCTGTAGGTTGTTTGCAGCATCCCAGGTCCTGGGCTGGGATGCCAGTCCTGAGAGCTGCCGCTGGTGGGGACTGGTGCGTGAGGAACCCCATTTGCAGCTGGGATGGCTGAGGGACCAAGGGCAGAGCCCTTAGGTGCTCTGCTCAGTCCAAAGCTCTCTCCTCAGCACCACCATGTAACATCCCCAAGGTCCAGGAGGTACCCAAGTGTGTGCTGTGTTGCTTTGCCACTGGGGTCCCCAGCAGGTGGGCCCCAGTGGATCTCCCAGCTCAGAAACCGAACATCACCACACAAAGCACTGGAAGAACAAAGGGAGGAGAACTAGAATCACATGAGGGTCTTTCTTATGGAGGGGGAAATGAAAGACCCCAGTGTTAGTTCCACCACCAACAGCTGCCCAAGATTTCAGAGGCAGCAGCAGCACAACACCAGACGTGAAATCTGAGATGTGCTCTGGAGGCATTTTCAAGCCAGCAAATGGTCATCTGCTGATGCTCTCCTTCAACAATAACGATTAAAAAAATTGGGAGAAATCTGATAACATTATCCTGCCAGGCTGCTCAGTACAACCATTGCATCTTCAAATATGAGCACATCTGTGATGAATTAGGAAAGGAGCATGGGCAGAGCAGGAACTGAAATCACATTAGCTCTCCCAAGAGCTGCAGATATATGCAGTGCTCGCAAACAAACTCCCAGCCACTTGCAGGGAGTGAAATCCTTCACTAGCTAACAGTGGGGAAAATACACAGAGCGTCATGCAAAAGCACAGACAGAAATACAAAGCAGAGTATATAAATTAGAGGAACAAGACCAAATGTGGAGAAAAGTGTGACCAAAAAAGCATGCTCTGCCAGGAAGTGCCAGAAAATTAATCAGTGTCTGGGAATTGTGGTGAGAGACATAAGCATTGCCAGAAAGTAAAAGAAGGGGGGAAAAATCGCTCTAGTGTAAATGCAAACCTGAAAGGAAGATGGTTTCTGCAGGAGCCTGACATTAATGCTCTGTAAAATGAAGAGGAAGGTGCTCTGCAGAGCTCAGAGTGCCCCCGGATGCGGAGGGAGGGTGGCGGCACACGGGCAAGCAGGGAGTGGGGTGCCTGAAAATGGGGCAGGGCAGACTGCATTAGACTGCTGAGATATGAGAGCTGGGCATTATTCCAGAGAAGAAAGCAAATTCCCAACCACATAGCCAAACTAAAATTATACAGTGGCTTGATCATAAAGCCTCTCCACAATGGATGTTACAAGAAGGCAGACAAGAAATGCCACAACTACCTAGGATGAAATTTCAGGAAGAGCCTTGCAAAAGATTTGAGCTAGAAGAGGGTGATCACAACCCAACAGTGTTATGAGTGAGGGAGCTGGTGGACGGGCTGCACACACCAGCCAAGCAAGAAGTTATCCAGGATCTGGATGTATCTCCGCAAAACCACAGCTGGGGTGGGGGAGGGGTTTGGAGGACTGGGCTGACTCCTGGGCAGGTTGTACAGGTGGAAACAGAGCAAAGGCTTTGGCCCACACAGAGCCAGCCTCAGTCTCCCCAGAACACTGGACATTGCTGTCAGTATCTGTTTTTTGTCTGAGGAGCCTGTGGCTGCCTGGAGCCACAACTTACAGGAGCAGTGAGGTGAGCTGCATGACAGAAGCTGACAGCAGAGAAAGTTGTACTCGATCGCCTGCATGTCTAACATGGCTGTAGCCATCAAAATAATATCTCATGACAGCTCGTACTTCTGCAAAGCCAAGGGGTCAACATGCTCCACTGAAGTCAGTCCAGCTTGCAGAGATAGGGTTAACAACTCAAAAGGAAGAGAAGCAGAGAAACTAGAGCTTGCTACTATGACCAAACTTACATGCCTTGTCAAGTGCTTGGTCATCCCTGATCGAGTGCTGTAGAAGATATATCAGGGTGGCAGAAATGCCCCCATCTGTCCAGAGAGGGGTGAAAGCTGTGGAGGGGAGGGATGTAAATCATGTCCATTGCTCTTGGCTTTTGTTTTTTGTTTGTTGGTCCAAGTTTGGCAAACCTGACACATCACAAAATACATTGATACCACCAGATCTGCATTTCTGCAACAGTGTCTGTGTTGGGGGAACTAAATTGAAAAATTACATCTGTCTCTTTTCAGAATAAACCACAAACTTTGGCAGGGGACACAGGTGAAAGAATAAGGGAGGTGTCGGTTGGCACCCGGCCATCAGCATCCCTAGATGGGCACTGGGCCCAGTATGGCCCAAATACAGGAAGGTTTCCTTAAGACAGTGCCTCTGGAGCTGTGCCAGCTTTGCAGCCTCTGTGCGGCTGCACTTACGTGGTACATGCCCTCACATTGATTAGCAGCAACGGGAAACGAGCTGGGGCTGCCAGGCTTCATCTACACTTCATTGCTGCCCGCTGCAGCCACAGGCCTTCCCGTGGCATACACAGTATGCAAATCCAGCCCAGTATCACCCATGATGTGCACCTCCTGGTGAGCCATCCCACGGGCCAGCAGTGGGTCTGGGTGCAGCCAGGGCTGAACTGAACACACAGCCCATGGTGCCGTTGTGTGCCAAAAGAGGGCCAAAGCAGGGTTTTAAATGAACTGCTCTGGGTCAAAGCCCACTTAGGCTCAAAGCTTGCGTAGTGCCTAGGAAAAGCTGTGCTTGGCAGTGGAGCGGGCACAGAGCTCTGGTGATACTGCCCATCCATCTGAGCCTCACCGAGGGCTTGTGCCCAGGCCAGCATGGTTGTGACTTGAGCTTGACTGCTGCCCTGAATGGGGGAGCACCACAGGGACAGCTTTGGGGCTGGCTGCAATCACCAGTGGCTCTGCTTTGTGGTGCTGCAGAAGGGTGATGCAGGGTCCTGGGCTGCTCTGGGCTGGCACCACTGTCACACTCCTGCTGCAGAGGATCCCCATGCCCAAGGGTGGCGACAGCCCGAATGCCTGCCAGAGGACAGGTTGGTCCCAGCCCTCCTGACACCACTGAGCCCCTGGCAGAAAACCTGGCAGCTCAGGCAGGAGTTCGCTTTGCAAAAAACCATCTGATTCCTGGGTGTGAAGCACCCACGTCCCTGGCTTCTCCCGCCCTCCTCAGCCCTGATACCTGCATGGGTTCATCTCTGCTGGGCTTCCCAGCAGTAAGTCAGACCATGCATCAGGAGCACTCCCTGATCCAGCCTCCTGCCCTTGTCTCCTCAGCAGAGCCCTGAGGAAATAGTGGTTAACATAATGCTCAGCCCTTCCCATTTACCATAATGGTTTCTCCGTGCTAAAGGCACTTTGTTTCTGGGAAAATGTATTTCCTCCTTGAGTTGGTGAAAAAATAATGCCTCAAAAAGCCACCCTGCTGACCCAGCCATCGCAAGGCAGAGCGTTTTGATGTGCTCCTGCTACTGAGCCCAAGAGCCCTCCCGCAGCAGCCTGCCCCAGCTCACAGCTGGAGAAATGTTTCCTGTGTGACAAGCATTTCCCCATCTCCCATCTGTGCATTTACATAGGAAATGAGAAGCTCCTATGCTGCAGCTACTGCAAGGCTGACATGTCTGGGCTGGATGTGGCAATGAGGAACATCCAGCCCCAGGGGTGCGAAGGAAGCGCTCAGCGCATGGGAGGGTGCTTTCTGCTCTCCCGCTGAATGGTCCTGAAATGGCACGCCTGTGCCTCCCCACCCGCAAGAGGGAGACATGATCATACCATAAGGTGCTGAGGTGTAACTTGGGATCTGGAAGGGAAAGCAGGTCCGGGGATACAGAGCTCTTCCCCACACGCAGCATCACCAGCCCTGCTTGCAGCACCCTGATACTCTCCTGAAAGCAGCCAAGAGCCCTGGGAGGCTCAGGGTAGTGGGTCCCAATGGACATCTTGTCACCCCACCACTAAATCCCTGTGGGAGCTGGAAGGTGGTGAGCTGGAAAGTCTCAGGACAGGGACAGGGACTGCAGGAGCCCACTGTCCATGGGTGGGCAGTGGGACTCTGCAGACATCCTCAGTCCAGCCTATCTGCAGGACCCTGTTGCCTATTCTTACATTTCATTGCTCTCATAGGTGTGATGCTCCTCTCTCCCCGCAGTGACACACAAAGCCTTCTCCACCTTCATTTGACTTGACACCGATTAATGACTAAATGGAAAGCACTCAATCCATCCTCCATGACTAGCCCTGCTCTGTTCTTTCTCTTTTGTCCATCTCAGGTCTCCTCCTCAGATCCTGTCACCGTGGAAATTCCTCCCAAGAGCCCTGATGGGAGTGAGAAGTCTCCTCAGTCCAAGGAGCTACTGACCAGTAACACAGCCAGCACCCTCTGCATCAGCTCCCGGAGCGAGTCCGTCTGGACCAGCGCATCCAGAAGCAAGTGGGACATATACCACAAGCCTGTCATTGTCGTGTCTGTTGGAGCAGCCGTCTTCCTCTTCGGGATAGTCATCACCAGCCTGTCTTGCATCCAAATCAGGAACAAAAACGTTTACAAAATGTGTGGCCCAGCTTTCCTGTCCTTGGGACTGATGCTCCTTGTTTGTGGCCTTGTCTGGATCCCCATCATCCGGAAGAAGCAGAAGCAGAGACAGAAGTCACAGTTTCTGCAGAGCCTCAAGTCCTTCTTCTTTAACCGCTGAGGACAGCCCAGGACCTTCCCTGGAAGGCTCCCCTCCCATCTACCCACCTGTGTTGGTTAGCCATAAAAAGAAACCTGTTGTTGTACTCTCCTAGAAGATTTCATCCCAGTAAGTCTCTTCCCTACAGGTGAAACACATTGTACCAGTCTCCAGTGTGAAAATGAACTTTGTATTTCATCCAAGTAATCCAAGAAAAAAAAAGAGAGCAGGATTTTGCAGCTGAGCCCAGCAAGGCAGGTCCGAGCTCTCTGCATCGCCCTCCTGTCCAATGAGCAACCCAACGTCATATATTGGGAAAAGCAAAGCTCCTAAGTAGCCTGACTGCACCCAGTAGCTTCTGCAAGATACATCAGCAGAGAGGAGCCAACTGACTACAGAGTGTGAATAAAGCCGGGTGTGAACATTGGTGACTGCAAACTGCAGCTCAGATGTAGAAACGGGGAGGCCAGAGGTGGTTCAGCCAAAGTCAGCAGAGGGGAGAAGCAGGACAATGTAGTTCCAAGCCACTTTGTATCAGAGAAAGCCACCAGAACAGGCAATACATATCACCAAAGCTTAGGAGGACCAGATGTAATGCCCACACCAGGACTTGCCCGTCATCGAGCTATTACAACAGCTGGCTGAGACGTGGCTGCAAACTGGAGCTCGCTCCTTGCTCAGGGTGGAGCACTCACAAGCTTTATTTATTGCTCCAAAGGGTCAAGGCAAGAAGCAGCATTAAAGCAGAATTTTTTTGCTCCCCCTGGCAGAGAGTGTTTAAGAAAGGCTGTTCCTGCAGGCCTGCAGAGGCAAAGTTGTTTGGCAGTGCAAACTGATGCATTTGCACTGATGTGGCCCAGAGACACCCATAAACCCAAACCATCAGCCTGTTCATGCAACCAGAATTGGACCACAGGCAAGACAGGTTCGTTATCTCCACTACTCTGTATTTCTGCCTTTAATAAATGTGTGCCCTGAGGCAATTCACCAAGGAAGGCACAGATCCTTTCTGCATGGTTTTTGCTTTAATTTTATATTTTCAACAGGCTTGATTTACTTTAAAAGACAAATTTGAAATGTAAATTCTCAGTCCGAAGAACTGGTCTCAGTCTGGACAGCAAGATCTTGGTTGGTATAAATAGGGCCATAATGTCCAGCTCCTAATTTTGGGTTCAGGCACTGATGAGAGTCTGATTTTTCAGAAGTGCTGATGCAGACTGGATTCCACGGCAGACTTTCATCAGCCCAGTAAGACTCTCCCGCAGAGCAAGCACTGGCTCCAAGGCCCTGACACCTGCTGTGGGATGCGGATGGAGTCGGTGCTGATCAGAAGCAGAAGAGGAACACAGAAGAGGAGACCCCACCAAGCTCCTCTTTGTAGTTTGCACCTCCACGGGGAAGCCCAGGCAGCCCCATTGCTCTTCCAAATGCTGTGGGAGGAAGAGAGGCTGGCAGGGGGGCATTGAGAGAATTTGCAATGTGTTCGCTCTTTGGTTTCAAACAGACAGGGTATGATAACCTCCATCAACTGCTGATAAGAGGAAGCTCATGTAAGCCCTCAGGTTTCTCTAATCCAGCATCCCACGTCTACCAATGGCTCCCAAGGAAAGCTGGAGAAAAGCACAAGGATTGGGACATGTAGACAATAGTCCTTCTACTGGCTTATGTCCACCTCCCAGCTCACAGCAGCTCAGAGCCAAGCCAGAGGTTGCTCCAGACCACTGTTTAACAGTCACTGATGCAGCCAACATGCCCAGCTCCTCCTGTTTTGCCCACTTTTTCAAATCAGTTGGCACTTTCAGGCTCTGCAGCATCCTGGAACCACAATTCCTTCAAGCCCTCTAATTTGCCAGGCATGCTGGAAGGTCTGCACAGCATCAGGAGACACGGCAAAAGCAGAGGGTAACAGATGCTGCTGCTCCAGGCCGGCGGGTGCCCAGCAGGTCAGTTAAAAGGGAATGTTCACTATAGTCAAGGATCATGAAGGTGTAGCTGTGGGAACTGTGCTTGGGGCCAAGAGTTGATTCCCTGTGGGGAAATATTTAACCTCCTCCTGGTTATATTTAACCTCATCTCTGGCTGAACTCCCTTATAAATGAAATCGGTGCCACATCAGTATCTTTTCCTACAAGCATGATCCAAGGTGCCCGTGGCCCAAAGACTTCAAGTGGAAGCATTTGTGCTACCACAATTTAGCTAACATGATTAACCAGGGAGCTCAGGCTCACCTTGGCACTGCTGCCAAGCTCCCACCAGTATGTGACCAAGGCTGACCAGTTCCATGTGCCTGGAGATCCCCTCCACCAGTGCTGGGAGAACTTGAGGAGGCAGGTCCCAGCCTGGCAGCTGACACAGCTGGATTACAAGAATTTAAGCAGTGCACATCCCTTTGCCCCAGGCTCAGCCTGGCCCTAAGCTTTGTTTCCTGGGTGGTGCAGACGTGTATCCCCGGCCAGCCAGCGCCAGGTTCATGAATGGGGTGTACAAGGTGTGTGATCTGGCACTGGACCCAGTAAACCTCTGTTTGTGCCTCAGCCATTCATCATGCCATGCAAGGCTTTGCTTGTTTTTGCAGTCCTGACTTGGCACTAGGCAGCAGTCTCTATTGATTTAGCTGCAACGGGCAGAGGACGCTCACCTAAAACTCCTGCTCAGGGGGCAGCTGCAGTCAGAAGAGCAGACAAATGTCAGGACTCATGAGGGGGAAATCAGAGAGTAACGTGAAGAGCATCACCAGGCCCCGGCTGGCTCCAGCCTGCAGATCTGGTCACAGACAGGCGTCCTAAAGCTGCGCAGTCTGGAGAAGGCACCTGGGAATGTTCCCTGCTGCAAACAGCTCTGCTGTGGCAAGAGGCTGCTCAGCCCAGACTCGCTGTCCGAAGGTATGCGTCAGGAGGACTAGAAGTACCAAATGGCCTGGAGAGAGGGAGCAAGGGTCCCGCTCTCCATGTCTCACAACCAAAGATAAGGAGACGGTCAATGAAATGTTAATATGATAAGAAGTCACTGAGACCAAGAGTCTAATGGGATTCCAGACTGGTTATTTATAACAAGAATATTATGTTAAATTAAAGCAAAAATTTCCCAAGGGATGTTCATGCTGCTGCTCTGGTCTCATGTCTGTTGTTTTGTGCCTGCTGGTAGAGAGGGGAGGCTGTGTTATAAGGTGTTTGAGATGGATGATGGTGTGGCATGCAGGGGCCACCATGCAGGGGGGCTCGCTCAGGACATCGGGAGGAGGAAGAGTGGGGCTGGTGCTGCAGGTTTCTTTGGGTGCTGGCCATGTGCCCTGGGTGAAGGTCTCAGGTCTGCAGATGTGCTCAGTGGACACCTCTGTTGAGATGGGAGGAGCACATGGGTGGCACGGGAAACTGCCTGGCAAGAGGATGGAGTCTGCCCGGGTGAGGGTAATGACAATAGCCCAGGGATCAGCAGAGCTTGGTGAGAGGAGGAGGAGGATTTATCAGGTGGAACTTACCATTTGCTGCCCAGATCTGTAAGGGGACAGTGAGGTAAAGGGAGAGAAATGTTAACTGAAGGGAAAGCTAGATTAACAGCTCAAAGATCAACGAGCAGATGGAAGTCCAGCAACAGGGTGGGAACTCTCCACTTTCTTGCACGGGGTATAAATGCCTGATTACTGCTGGGAAGTCAGGTGGATTTTGCATTTCTGCATGCAAGGCAAAGAGCTCCCAGCACTGGGAAACGCATCATTCTCCTGAAATGAGAGAGGCTCAGCTGGAGCAACTTAGGGAAACAGAGATGCAGGGTATCCTGGAGCCTGTTCACAAGGGTTTCATTAGGAGCTGACATAAAGTGTATCCCCTGCTGTGGCCCAGCCAAACCCTGCCGGGCTGCTGAAAAGTGAAATCCTGCCTCTGTGCTGTGGGACCAGTGAACTTCTACATCCCGCTGACACGGGAGGCTGCAGAGGCAGGGGTTATCTGTGGGTTCCAAATGGGTCGATGGACAACAGGTCAAAACAGAGACAGCAGAAGCAAGAGAGGGATGTGCCCTCTAACTTCTGTAACTAACAGTGGTGGATGCTGGAGAAGTCCATGGGGATCAGATGGCAGCAAGGGCTGGGCTCATGTGCTACCTCCTCCTGCCACTGCTGGAGACAGCACTGGGCTAGAGGGACCTTTGATCTGGTCGTAGGGCCGTTCATGCCTTTGGGTCATTCTCATGCACCCGCAAAAGCACTGTTTGACTGCTCCACAAGTATTCTTCTCCACTCCCACTGAAGCCTTTTTGAATCCCAGTGTGATGCTTTGGATCAAACCAAAGAAAACCATGTTTTAAGAATATATCAGGTTATCCAGCAAATATAATTATGTCTGTCTCTCACTAAAGCGAGCTTAGATGCGATCTGCCAGCTTCCCCTGTTCTATAAAAAGAACAGGAAATCCATTACAAAATTCATTATCTCTGCAGTTCACAGAGGAAATGTTTCTCCTACATCTCAAAGGTCAGCCCCCCAGCAAACCCGCCGAGCAGGCTCTGCTGCCAGCTGACACCCTGCTACAGGGCACCTGCAACAGCTTCTTCGTTCCTGGGCTTTAACAAACGTTAAACCTGCCCAAAGATACTGCACACCCGTGTTGCGTACCTCTCTCTGAGGATGTTAAATTGTGTTTTATCTCACTTCCCATTAACTGGATTCACCCCTGGTATAATCTGCAGAGTTCTGCAGCTGCTGCTGGGAATTGCACTAACACTAACCCCCTTCCTCTGGGGTACAAATGATTTAACTGTGGAAGGAAGCAGGTGACCACTGGCGTCCGTAAACGCACACATATTCCCCTGAGCACTCGCACACATATTCCCCTGAGCACTCCCATCACTCCTTTCTGGGAACACGGCCAAGGGCTCGCGGGGCCATGGGGCTCATATCCCAAGTCACTGCTGGGTTGTCAGCTTCATGCCTGTGTCTGGATATTAGCCGGGCCGCCAGTTCAGCGTGCACCCTGAAACGCTGCTGGTGCTTCCTTGCACCCTAAGGAGCAGATGACATCCCACCG